TTCCAGAGGCAACTGGACTTTCTGGTTTTTCTTTGAAGACATTTCACTTCTCATCCAAGAAGCTTCTTGGATGAGAAGTGAAACTCTTTCAAAGAAAAACCAGAAAGTCCAGTTACCTCTGTAAAAAGCACCTTTGAGACATTTTAATCATCTTGTTTATCTACTTTCTGTTGTGTCCCTATATAATACGTGGTAAAAATTACCACTTGTGAGAGTTTCTAGAAAACTATTTCCAGGTAAACGAAGCATAAACATAAATCTCTATAAAACACAACATACCATTCACATATAAAAGAATGTTATCATTTGCTTTTCCTGTTATAGATCTGAAGGAATTTGGCAACAGCTTTTCAGACTAACAAAATCTTATTAAAAGATACAGGTTCACTTCATCAGAGGCATGGATTGTCGACTCTGATGTAGAATTTAAATTGGCAAAAGGGGAGAAGGGAAGAGAAGGCTGGTTAGTTATGCTGATACAGGTTATTTGTGAGACAGATTATAAAGATTTTATCAATTAACAGTTGTAACAGTCATTGCAATCTAACCCAATATCCTGCTTAATAATACTGATAATATTTCATTTTTTCCACAATGATTAATTAGAGATCTGAAATGAAGTCTCCTAGAAAGTTCCAATGTTATGACCCACCATTATGAGCTTTTTAATAATTTTAGGATTCCTGATAGTTTCAGCAAGAACTATTAAAATCAAAAGTCAAAAGAGAACATCCTTGACATATGCCAAGGCATAGATTTAATCCAGAAGGAGACATACTATTATTAACCACATGTGTTTACAGATAATTCAAAACATGTCTATTCAGAATATATTTAAAACATGGGGCAGATTCATAAATCAACACCTGTTTCAGAAACTACCAGAAATGCCATAGCAAAAGTTTCCTCAGCTTTCAAAAAACTGCTGGCTGCTGGATTCTATCTGCTGTGAATTAAAAGAATTATATCAGTTACAAATATAATAAGGTATTGTTGTAATCTGGACTGCATATAAACCCAATTTGAACTGGGCTCATAGTAACTGAAAGAACAAGCAATAAACCAGTAGCCAAAGTAGCTACTAAAATCTTAAACACCCAAATTGATTAAAGAATTAGGTTGTAATTGAAACCAAGAGTCGGGTCTTCATCAAGTTTAAAGAAGGGGAAAATTCATGCTTATAAATGTGCAAAGCATCAGGATCTATACATCAAGGAAATATGCATGTGTTAAGATAAATTGAGTTATTAAAATATTGTATTTTATTGAAGTTGTAAATGACAAATGAGGTTGGTTTTACTTTAATGGATCTTTTAAAAATCGTGAAACAAGCAAAAAGCATTACAAGATTTTTTTAGTGCAGCTTGTCAATTAAAAAAAATCAAAACGTACCAGGGAAATATCTCCCCAAATTCACCTGAAAACCATGTACAAAAGTGTATGACTCTATGGCATTATTATTATTATTTTTTGGCAAAAACTGTATATTAGGCAAAATTGCAAACCAAATGGGAATGTTAAAAGAAATATGCATAGAATGACCTAACAATGATCTAATCCTCAATCCTACAACTGAAGCAAGAATTTTGGTTCCTAAGCAAGGCGGTTGTTAAGTGAATCACACCCAATTTTACGACCTTTTTGCCATGGTTGTTAAGTGAATCACTGCAGTTCAGTGAGGCTTAAGCCAGCTGGGAAGGTCACAAGTGACAATCACATGATCCTAGCATGCTGCAACCATTGTAAATACATGCTAGTTGCCAAGCGCCTGAATTTTGATCATGTAATTGTGGAGATGCTGTGAAAGTCATAAGTGCAAGGAACAGTTGCATGTCACTTTTTAAAGTGCTATCGTAACTTTGAACGGTGACCAAATGAATGGTTATAAGTTGAGGATTGTCTGTAGTGCTTGCTTTAAAAAAACAAACTGAAAGAGGATGCAATGAGCTTAGAACAAAAAATTAGAAAGGGAGGCAAACCATAGCTGTCAAATTTCTTCATTCTAGTCTGAGCCAATGTGGAAATAGTAGTTCTGATTCCCCCCCCCCCCCCCCCCCCCCCCACAAAATGGGGGTTGCTTTGGAAACCTTCTCTACCATTCATATAATCAATCCTGCTTGGCAAGCCACGTGACGTGGGCACTGTCTAAATTCTTAATTCATACTTCACTATTCATGACGTGTTTATGAATTCACAATGATGCATTTTATTGGCTGCAAAATGGGTCACACCACTTAATCAGACATCTATCCTTTGCTGTGTAAGAACGCTAAGTTATGTAAGTTGTTTTTGTACAACTGATTGTACGTTCCCAGGCATCACGTACCATATATGACATAGTAGAGCTGTGTTTCTCAAACTTGGCCACTTAAAAGGAGTGGGTTTCAACTCCCAGAATTTCTCATGCTGGCTAGGGAACTGTGGAAGTTGAAGACAACTTGGCAAGTTTGAGAAACACTGATGTAGAGGAAAACAACTTTTGTTCCTGATCTTGTCAAAACAAATTTTACAAGTGAGGAAGTTTTCTCTTTTCTCTGTTTTTTTTTTTAATCAAAAGAGAGGATTTGTAGAACTGGATGTTCCAAAGTTTAATAGCATAGCAAAAAGTTTTAAGAGTGCTATGGGGTCCTTAGCGCTCTCTGAGTTTGTAGTTTTCTTGCAGATGTTTAATTACCAAACTAGGTAATATCATCAGAGCTAGAAGAGAGTGGGATTTGCTCTTATTTTTATATACTAGTGTTGGTGAGAGTGTTCTTGGTGTTTCTTTGATGGTTCTTAGAGAGTTTTGGCCAGGAACTAAATAATAAGAATCCCTTGGACTTATTCATTTGTTGTGTATATTGTATTTTTCTTTTCAAAGAAGCCTATGCAGGCTGCCCATCATTTCATCCCACATAAGCCCTGTGAGATACATTGGGGTGGCCTTGGCCCAAAGTGTGCAATTTGATCCTGGGCTTCCCTTGTCCGAGTCCAACGCTTGTACTAAGTTGCTACCATGGATGCCAATGGGGATGGTTGAGTTCCTGTAGTCCAAACGAGATCTGTTCAGATTAAGTCAAGCCATTCATATTCAGGAATTAGCTTGGCGATTTGAGTGAATTGAGTTCATAGCCTGTGGTGCCTTGGCAGGTGTGGAAGTTGAGCAATCTAATTGCTATTCTCATCCTTCTGGTTCACACCAATATATGCCAGACCTTTCTCCCTTTCCTCTCCACTCAAGTTTTGTAACTGCCGTTGTTGCTTCATGGCCCCCACAAAGTAAGGATAAAAAGCTTCAGCCCCCTACATACACCTCCTATGTGGTTAAGAAATGTCATATTCTCAGTTTGTTTTATGAGACCGTTGTTCAGTGTACAGTAATGTACAGGTCGTCCTTAACTTACGACCAATTGTTTAGCAACTATTCAAAGTTAGACGGTGCTGAAAAAGGCCACTTGTAGGCTTTGCAGATTTGTGTCCTTCCCAACTGGTCTCTGACAAAGTTACAGCAGGGGGAGGGGGGACTGGATTCACATAATGATTGTGATTTCTAAACAGCCATGGTAAAACAGTCATAAAATCAGGTACAACTCACATAATGACTACATTGATTCCCTCAACACTGTTCAACTATTACAAAGTCTGCACTGCTATTACTGTTAATCTTCTCATCACTCCTTATCACCCATCCCCTCCCACTTGTGATTGTGGGACTGTAACTTTGTCGCTTGTATCCTTACCATTTATATTGACTGTTTCCTAGCATGATTTGATTGCTTATTGTACCCTATGACTATTATTAAGTGTTGTACCTGATGATTCTTGACTCTTGACGATGTATCTTTCCTCTTATGTATACTGAGAGCATTTGCACCAAGACAAATTCCTTGTGTGTCCAATCACACTTGGCCAATAAAGAATTCTATTCTATTGCTTAATGACATAAGTTTGGAAATCAATTGTGATTGCAAGTTGAGGATTAGCTGTATGTTGTTTTACTTTCTTACAAATAGTAACAAGGTGACCTGCCGTATTGGAAGACCCTGCAAGTCAGGGTGGGCAACTAGGGCCCCTTTATGAACCTTTGGACTTCAACTTCAACTCCATTTTGGCTCAGGAATTTTGGGAGTTGAAGTCCATAGGTCATAAAGCAACCATAGTTGCCCTCCTCTGCACCAGATCATTCTTCTTAGAGACCCTGGACTTTTGTCCCCAAATCCTACCTTGATGTAAATTACATCCATGTCATTTAACTCCCATACGAGCCATCAGAACATAGGAATGGTGCATTTCGCCCACACTGGCATGTCCATCTATGTAGGTTAAAGATGAGAAATAGTATTAATTGAAGTTTGTTCTAGGATGTCAATCTCCTTCAGCTCCAGGGATGTCCACAGGCCACGCTAAAAAAAGTCAAGATGGTAGCCACAAGTGCCACACCTGTGGATACCCCTGTTGACCAGACCAGACAATGATAAGCTCATGAGAATTGCAATCCATCCACAACTGGAGGACTAATATTGTTCCAACTCTCAGAAATTGGTAAACAGCAAATGAGTTGATTGGGATTGATAAATATTATTGGAATATGTTCCCCAAAAATCCACTCATTCTGCTATAACACTAATAGAATTTGTTACTAGAGGAAATGTTCTTATATTAGACACGACTTCTCTGCCATATGTGTCTCCTTTCTCAGCTTTGGACAATCTCTTTTAGAAGTTTATTTTATGCTGAAAAGGTATTACTCTTTGTCTTTGCTCTTACTAGTTAGCACTCGTCTTTCCCATGTTCTTTTTTTCCAACATTAAACAAGAACAAAGGTGAGACTCTGAACATCTTAAAGACTGCTGACAAAAACTTTGATGGATTGGAATGATTTTGTTCTCATTAAATCTGGTCTAGTGCCCTGTTTAGGATTCTTATTCCCTGGCTGTGTTATTACAGAATGGCTGCTTAATCCTAAATCAACCCATGCTTCTTTGTAGCTCCTTCATTCTTCGTTTGTTCTGATCTTCTAGTGCCCATCCCTTCGAAGGCTAACGGGACCACCATCTCTTCCCTGACCATGAACAAGGACTCCCTGATAGGAGGGGTGACCAATCCAAGCGAAGTCTTCTGCTCTGTTCCTGGGCGATTGTCCCTCCTCAGCTCCACCTCCAAGTACAAAGTGACAGTCGGCGAAGTTCAGAGGAGGCTCTCACCCCCGGAATGCCTCAACGCGTCTCTCCTTGGTGGTGTCCTTCGGCGGTAGGAATTCACACCATCCGTTTGTTTAGTTTGTTAAACTGGATCTGTTTTTTATAGTCGTGAATTTGAGATGGGCGCCATATGAACTGAATAAAAAAGTAATTAAAAAATAAATAAGAGAGCTGGTCAGCCAAAGTACCTTGGTAAAATCTTACCCAGAACAAATTGACCCCAGGTTTACAAACAACTATATGGGTAGTCCTAGACTTACAACCGTAATTGAACCCGGAATTACAGTCACAAGTTGTGGCATCTGTCACTGAGTCACATGACCATGATTGATTGTACAACCTTTTTTTTGCAGAGGTCATTAAGCAAACATCATGGTCCTTAAGTGAACTCCGCAGTCATTTAGTCAAGGTCAGAATTGTTAAATGGATTCATTTGACTCGGTAGGCATTTATTTTGCTGGAAACTGGAAATAAACACCAGAAATTGGCAAGAAATACCAAAAATTGCAGTCACATAACCATGTGACATTGCCAAAAGATGTGTATGAGAGCTGATTACCAAGTGCCAAAAATGTGATCACATGACCACAGGGTCGGGGTCATTAGTAAGTCCACAGTCATTAGTAAGTCCACAGAATAAGTAGCCCTCCGGTGGTTTGGTGTAATTTTGAATGGTTGCTAAGGGAGAAGTTAAGCAAGGACCATCTGTATATGTTTTTTATATTAATTTTGATGCATATAAGAAGTTGTTACCATGAATCCCTACTATATTTTAATTGCAAAATTTACAAATAGTCCTATGACTTTTCCTAGAATTGTTGGAGATCAGATTTTGGAAATTAAGGGTTCCTTAGTTTGTTTGTTTGTTTTTAAATCCCATTCAGATTGTTTCATTTTTCTACTTTCCTGTTTTAGGGCAAAATCTAAAAATGGTGGAAGATGTTTAAGAGAAAGGTTGGAGAAGATAGGGTTAAATCTACCGGCTGGAAGGCGCAAAGCAGCAAATGTCACCTTGTTAACGTCCCTGGTGGAAGGTAAGGTTATTTGTGTTTGGCCTGGCAAGGTGTTCTTTTGGGGTTGTGTAGGGATTTAAAACATCTTGTCTTTTTGGACTGCTTTCCAAAGACAACCCTGGATAGAGGATTAAAAAATGAGATTATTTCAGTTCAATTCAAAGTTTGATGCTTATTTTGGGGTTGAGCCATCACCATCTCCTTTAAGCGTTAAGCAAGAGTGAGCCATCTATAGCCTACTGCCTGCTGGTTGTTTATTTCCCACAATCTGACAGCCAAACATTGATGAAATGGAGGCATAATTTCTACTGGGCTTTGTGAGGAAATAACAGGAAAACTGCAATCCATGAGGCAGAATTTGCATTATTTTTCCCAAATAAAACATGCATGCAATACACTCACCTGAGTCCTGTTGCCCTACCACTGCAGGTGCCACCAATGCAGAGCATGTGTAACAGTGTCCCCTAAGAACGCAACATGTTACAGAGACAAGTTCTCAGAGATGGATGCAATTAGCAGTGTTGATATAGAGCAGAGTCCTTCACACATCTTAACCCAAAATCATTAATCACAGGGACAGGCAATTTGGTGGTCTCCAGAAGTTTTGGACTTTCATTCCCATTAGCCTCGGGCTTGTAGGAGCACTGACAATCAACTGTGAGAATTACAGTCCAGAGCAGTGGTTGCCAACCAATGAGCTGGGGACCACTGGTGCTCGTTGAGAAAATTTTGGTGGTCCACAGAGAAATGTTGCCCCCGAAACAATTAATCCAGGCTGCACGGGAACACAAGGCTGCACTGCCCACATGGCCCGTGGGAACACAAGGTTTGCGTCACTTGCATTGCGAACAACACGAGGTATTGAGGGGAGGGGGGAAAGGGAGGAGGGGGGAACTTGCCCCACTCACCCCATGTGCCTCGCCTGGCCCCCGGGCTGCTTCTTTCCGCTTCTTTTTTCTTCTGCTTTTGGCTTCTTTCTCTCCCCCAAACTCCACCAGAAATGAGTCTTTGGGACCCTGCAAGGCCTCCTGCTCCAAGGGGCTGCGCAGACAAAGACTCATTTCTGGCAGAATTTGGGGGAGAGAAAGAAATACTTCTGCTGCTTCTGCTGCTTTCCTTGCATGAAACCAAAAGTCTCTCTCTCTTTCTCCCCCTGAGAACGGAGCTGGAGATGGTATCCTGCAATCCCAAATAAAGAATGATCGATTGGTAGGAAAACGGGGTGGGGAATTTTCCTGCAGACTTTTTGGGTGATTTTCCCAGGGTCTCTGGTCCGCGGGATTTAAAATGATGAGTTTGGTGGTCCCTGAGGTCCAAAAGGTTGGCGACTCCTGGTCCAGAGCATAAGGAGGACAGAGGGGAAAGCAAGGGTATCAAAGACCTCTAGTGGACATCTCAATGCAAAACCACTGCAGTCTGGACCTGTCTTCTCCTGCACACCATGGTATTGCCATGAAGAGAAATGGGCCTCAAAGGACAGCCTGTATCAGGAAAAGAGTATCAGGAAATCATTGTGATTAAACAGCTCAAACAGACTGTGAAAAAGGAATATCTTTGACCTTAATATTCATGGAAAAGGTGTATGTCTAGTTTAATGAAAAGAAGGACTAGAGGTGACATGATAATGGTCTTCCAAATATTTAATGGGCTGCCACAAAGAAGAGATGGTCAACCTGTTCTCCAAAGCACCTGAAGGCAGGACAAGGAGCCATGGATGGAAATTTATCAAGGAGGGAAGCAACCTAGAATTAAAGGGAAATTTCCTGACAGTGAGAATGATTAATCAGTGGAAGGGGTGGGTGCTCCATCACTGGAGGTTTTTAAGAAGAGATTGGACAACCATTGTCTGAAATGCTTTAGGACAGTGGTCCCCAACCTTTTTTGTACCACGGCCCAGTACAAAATGATCCACGGACCGGTACCAGCATCAGCACGTACGACCAAGGCAAGGCGAGCCAAGCGACCAGCCAGCCGTCCCCCACTTCTCCCCGCTACCTTCAACTCCTCCTTTGTACCTTCTCGTGGTCGATGGGCTTTTCGGGCTCTTTCTTAATCTCCTCCTGAGTAACGCGAGACTCCACCGCCATCGGGACGGCTCTTTGTTCGAAGCCGCCCCCCCCTTCGATGAAACTAAGGCGCGAGGATTCCTTCAGCACCCAAACGCCGCTTTCCAACCGACGACTGACAAGTCACCCGGAAGCACTTTCTCAAGCGCCATCGAAACAAGATGGCGGCACCCAAGCAAAGTAGGCCCTACTTTCGTCCAGGGCCCGGTGGTTGGGGACCCCTGCTTTAGGGTTTCCTGCTTGAGCAGAGGGTTGGACTAGTAGATCTCCAAGGTCCCTTCCAAGTCTGTCATTCTTTTCTGTGCCTCTGGCTTTCTACTTTGTTTGTGGGAAGCTTGAAGAGTTCTTCCAAATTTCTCTTGGCAGTGTTGTTTACGCTGATTAGCTAGTATAGGTAATCCTCAACTTACAACCATTCACTTAGTGGCCATTGGAGATTACAATGGCCGTGTGAGAGGATTTATAACCAGTCCCATCACTGATGACTATCACAGCATTCCCCACAGTCACATGATCAACATTTGGGTACTTGGCAACCGGCGTGTGTTTATGTTCTTTGCAGCATCCCTAGGTCACGTGATAAGCTTTTACAACCTTCCCAGCCGGCTTCCGCCAGGCAGAGTCAATGGGGGAAGCCAGGTGCGCTTAACGACTGCTTGATTCATTTAACAAATGTAGTGATTCGCTTAATAACCGACACAGAGAAAAATTGGAGGAGATTCATTGAAACAACTGCCTTGCTTAATAATGGAAATTCTGACTGCAAGTCAAGTGGTAAGGCCTGATCATTGCAGTTAGATTAGATTAACAGAGTTGGAAGGGACCCTTGTAGGTCATCTAGTCCAACCCCGCCCCCCCAAGCAGGAGACCCTACATCATTTCTGACAAATGCAGAGGTGGCATTCAGCAGGTTCTGAGCAGTTCTGGAGAACCGGTAGCGGAAATTTTGAGTAGTTCGGAGAACCGGCCAATACCACCTCTGACTGGCCCCGCCCCCATCTATTCTCCACCTCCCATCGAGTCCCAGCTGATTGGCTGGGTCTTCTTTGGTTGCCCTGCACAGGAGAAGGGAGCTGGAAAGCAGGTCAGTGGGGTGGGGAGAGAATGGGGATTTTGCAGTATCCTTCCTCCTGCCACGCCCACCAAGCCACGCCCACAGAACCGGTAGTAACAAAAATTGAATCCCACCACTGGACGACTGGCAGTCCAATGTCTTCTTGAAAGCCTTCTGTGATGGAAGCCCCCACAACTTCTGAAGGTAATTGTTTTGGAGAGTGGAAGCCTCTCTGGCTGCCTACGCTTTGCAACCGGAGCGTGACGCCCCAGGTGGCTTTCCCAACACTTGAACAGGAGTAAATGGGGAGCAGGAAGGCAGCAAATACTTGGAGCAATGAAAAGCCGGGAGGAGGAGGAAGAGGAGGAGGAGGAGGAGGAGGAGGAGGAGGAGGAGGAAAGGGGTTGGACAGAGGATGATGCAGTGAAAGTGATATTTCTCTTGAAATACAGGCAGTCCGTGACTTGCAACCCCACAACTGAGCCTCAAATTGATGGCGCTAAGTGAGCTTTGCCCCATTTTACAACCTTTCTTGCCACGGTTGTTAAGTGAATCTCTGCAGTTACTAAGTGAATCTGACCTCCCCATGGACTTTTGCTTGCCAGAAGGTCGCTAAAGGGGATCACACCGCGACCGTCATAAAGACGAGCCAGTTGCCAAGCATCTGAATTTTGACCAGGGGATGCTGCAACGGTCCTAAGTGTGAAAAGTGGTCCCTAAGTCAGGTTTTTTTCCCCAGTGCCGTTGTAACCGTGAACGGTCATGAAATGAACGGTTACAAATCGAGGACGTACCAGAGCCTCACGCTGCTTCCCTCCCTTGGACAATTCACCAAGGTTTTCTTCTTGGAAGGCGAATGCGATTTGACCGGATTGAGGGGGAAGAAAAGGCTGCAGGATTTCTCGGCTTGTCACCAACTGCCCATCAGAGGAGTTCTTGTCACCTGGACGGCTTCGATGCGAAACGTCACGATGGGTAGAAAGGCCCTCCTTGCATTGGGGATGGTCTCCGTTCTGCGGTCTATTGTGATGGAAAGGCAGCTGCTGGAGAAGGACAGAAGGAAGACCCTTGGCTTTTGTTGGCAGCAGATGAAACGGGGGTGTTGCAGGAGGCTGAGGTGGTTCGTAAAGGCAGCTTTGGGACTGGAGGCTCCTGAATGGTTTATTTCCATGAGAAGAGGAGGAGATGGAGGAGGAGGAGGAGGAGGGCAGGGAAACAAGCAATTCGGGCTCAGCCCAGACAGCTGGGAGCTGTCATTGACTGCTGATCAAGGGGGGGTCAGTGTAAATGACAGATGATAGCTTGTTTGCCCAAGGACAATAAGTCCTACCCCACAAAGCATGGCCCTTCCTTTGAGGACTTCTTCAACGGCAGCCCTCTATTTGCAGGGCTCTTCAGGGTAAATGAAGTCTAGGAAAGGGCATTGAGGGTGGGTGGGTGGGTGGGCTGGAGGATTTCCACCCCTATTTAGCACTTCCAGGCCTTCCAGGGGGTTGGCATCATAAATGTCTCCTATTTGCTGTCCCAGCTTTTCCAACGAAGGACATTGAAATAGACGAGATCACAATTTTGCATCGCTGCTTAAACATCCCAGCATGCAAACCAGGGTCTCCTGTTTTGGCTCAGCATTTCCTCTTGTTTCCTTTTGTTTGTTTGTCCCAAAAAAGAAGAAGAAGAAGTTTCTTGGATGAGAAGTGAAATGTCTTCCAAGGAAAAACAAAAAAAACAAAAATTCCCTATTGTCTCTTGGAAAAAAAAAAGCACTTTGGGGACAGCCATGATCTGGATGACTGAGAATCTCCATCGGCTTTTGTTTGTTTGTTTGGTTTTTCGGAAAGGCTTTGCTAGATCTGAAGCACCGCCAAATCTTAGGTTCGTGGAATGGCCTTCTTTTGGGAAAAGCAGCCTGGCCTGTTTGCATTCCTGTTAAGTGTTAACAATCCTCCCCCCACCCACTCGCCCTTCCCAAAAGTCTAGATTAAATAAAGAAGAATAAAAACTGAACTGAACAAGCTAATAAAACAGATAAAACTTATTTAAATGCCCCGAGAAGATTTGCTTGTCATAAGGGTCCGAAGGAAAGCTGGAGAGTCTGTTCCCATTTGGATCCCTGCAACTGAGAAATGAGTTGGATTCAAGGCTGCCTCCAATTCACTTCTTTGATGAACCTGCAAGTCGAATTGATCATTTGATAACACAGAGACCATGGTGGAATGAAACACTGGGCGTTCCCACAGGGCACCCCAGAGGGCAGGATCCAGGAAAATTTTCCCCCAAATTCCCATTTTCAGACGAAATCTTTGCAATCCAGTAAGAAAAAAGGCAGAGGACATTTTCTGCACAGCAAAGCTCCCGATCTCCTTGGGGCAACTGCAGTCAGGAAGGGGGATCCATCATTCTGTGGAAATGCCCCTGCCTTGGTGAAAATTGATCCAGCTCCAGGCATGGCCGTGGAAGTAATCGGAGCGGATGGGCGATCGATCACACCCCAGCTCTCGAACTCAGGTTACACAGACAGAGTTAATTCATCTTCCCTCCTCCCCCTGCTGTGCGGGTTAAGCCATCCATCCTATAATGTGTTAACCTACTTGCTGGCCTCGCTGTCTACCTCAGTGTGAGGCCTGGGCCTCTCCGTCAGTCCTTCTGAGAAGAATCGGCTATCAAATCCTACAAGGTTCCAGCCCTCATGGTTATACGGGCCAATGCCTATCAATCTCAGAAGAAAGGCAGCCGATGTCAGAGGGCGGCCAGAGATCTGGGAGAGATCAGTTCAAGTCCAACCACACCAGGAAAGGCCCCTTGGAGACATCACTTTACTCAGTCCAGCCTACCTCACAAGGCTGTTGTAAGGGATAAAGTGGAAGTGGGAATACGCCATGCCAGTGATTCTCAACCTGTTCTTCACCACGGATGACCTCCCTAAATACCATTTCTGGCCATGGACCCCCCAAGACCTAACTCAAGATTTAAATCCTAACTTTTTTTTTTCAAGTCTTCATGGACCCTCTGTAATGACATCAGGGCCACCCAGTGTTGTGCTTTGCCGGCAGCCAGTGTGGATTGAAGAGATATTGGACAGTGAGGAAGAATGGGGACCAGTCAGGGAGTCTGGCGAGGACTTGGACGAGGGTCCTGCATCCGATGCAGGGATGGGGCCAGGACCATCTGAGAGTGGGGTGTTGCCTTCGGAGTCTGGCAGCAGCGAGGCAAAGGACCCCAGGGAGCCTGTTCCCAGGGCGCGTATGTGCAGAACTGCTAGAAGGCGAGAGCAGCTGAAACAAAAGGGGCGACTCGGGAGTAGGGCTGGGAGGTGATTGCCCCTCCCATCAGGGATAAAAGTCAGACCTCAATGACGAAAAGCTTTGCAGGAAGCAAAGCAGTTCAGTAATTTCCAAGTCCTCCTTGAAGCTCAGTACTCTGGTCGGTTTTTTCTGGGTTTTTGGGTTGGTTGATGTTAGCCTTAATTGGACTTCTGTTTCTTGGCAGCATTCTGCAGCACTGAAAAGCGTGCTCTTATCTGGAGGAACGGTGTATAATGAATTTTGGCTGGGAATGCAAGTAATTCCCAGTGTTGCATTAAAATAGTTTTATTTTTAAAATCAGCTTCTGTTTTATTAAGTTTGACAAAGCCTAGGTCAGAACACACAGGAGTCCTCAGACCACAGGTTGAGAACCACTGATCCAGTAGTGGGATTCAAATTTTTTTTACTACCGGTTCTGTGGGTGTGGCTTGGTGAGTGTGGCAAGAGAAGGATATTGTAAAATCTCCAATCAGAGGTGGGATTTGCCGGTTCTCTGAACTACTCAAACTTTCCGTTACCAGTTCTCCAGAACTGGTCAGAACCTGCTGAATACCACCTGTGCACTGATCTATACTGTATACCACCTGGATCAATTGAAGGAAATGTGAGATAGAAATACAACACCCACACACGAATACCTACGCACACATACTATATACATATACAGTACCTACACAAACACACACATGTATTCCTCAACTTATAACCAGTCGCTTAGTGGCTATTTGAGGTTCCAAGCAGACCTACCTGGAAGGTTCTTACAACCCATATTTGAAGTCCCAATGGTCACATTGGCTCGCTTAACAATCACAACGATTCATGTAACGACCGCCACAAAAAAAAGGTATAATTGGATCAGTCACATGACTGGCCTGCTTTACAACTGTCAAGTATTACAAGCATAGGACATAACTCAAGGACTACTACCTATATATATATAAATCCATAACTACTACACTTGCGACAAAGATCACATCGGCCTACGCATTTTTCCTTTGTAGAGTACAAGTAATCAAATAAAAATAAAATAATGCAACATAATGGAAAAATATTAATAATTATTATTACATGCAAATATAATAAAATAATGCCATCATAAAACAAAGTAAAATTTTGATATATAAAGTGAAAAAAAAAGATTAATAAAATAACATACAAATAGTATAATATAGTAAAACAAAAATAATGAAGTGAATTATAAATACTGTAAAAATAATAGCATAAAAAGCTTCAATGCAATTACAGTATTATCTTTTGCATTAATTTGGCAACAACAATAACAGCACTGAAAGCTGATGGAAAATTAAAACCAAATTATCCTTTTCCAATCCTAAGAATAGCTGTGTAATCTTCTCCTTTGTCTTCCCTTCCTGTTCTCCCCACAATTCTACGTCCTGATGGCTCTGTGGTGGTGGCCCTATTTTTCTTGCCCTTCCCTCCACGGGACATAATTTGAAGAGATGCACCCCATCAACTCTTGACAACTTGCTCTGCTTTTTAGAATGATGGGCTGTGTTTATGCAGCCCACTTTATCCAAGATGATTACCCAAAAGCTATGTTAGTCTGTGGCAAAAAAAAAAAAAAAAAATGACACAGCATCTGGTAGCATCTTATTCCTTTATTGATTTATCTGGTTCTCTAATCTAATTAAATTTATTTATTTAGCCACTTAGAGTTGTCTTGGCAAGATGGGCAGCATTAGAACTCTAATAATAAATACATACATAATAATTTAAATAACTGCTTATTTCATGCCTCGGGCTTTGGGCAGCATACACAATTATTGTAAAACACAAAGCTAAACAACCAACATAATTCTAACACAACCTCCCCAAAACCAGGTTAAAAAGGTTTTTTTTTTAAAAAAAATGATATTTGTCCAGTCTAACCAATGTGTCTTCTGCATTTAACCAGGTTGGTTAAGACCACAGCAGCTGTATTCGCTGACTTAGTATAAACCTTGGTTAGCTTATTTTGTGACTGAGTGGGTTTGGGCCACTGCAGCTCCCAGTCACTCTGGCCAGATGGACCCTTACAGAAGGGGAGGGAATGACCAAGTGAGTTGTGTTGTCAATTCCCCACTCCTTTTGTGCTTGCCTTGTGACATAACAGGCAAAGCCTTGGGTCATGTCACCTTGACATGCCTCCTGTTCTTATGACAAGAGTTCCTTTTAGTGCAGTCGGTGATTATGGCCCAGTCTCCAATCCCTCTGGATCCCACTGGGCTGGGCGAGGCAGTGAGATGCTGTAGTGGCAGTTTATGAAACACCGTGGCTCCTTTCACACTTGAGTCTAAGATGCTGGTGCTGTACAGTTGATCTAATCAGATAATTGGTTCAAATGCAGCAAATGGCTACAGGTAGTCCTCCAACTTACAACCATTCATTTAGTGACTGTTTGAATTGGAACTTGCGTTCAGAAGTTGTGGTTACTCCATCACTGGAGGCTTTTAAGAAGAGTAACAATCCGCCAAAAGCAGAACTCTGAGGCAAGTAGATTCCTCAAAGAACATGTTTATTGGATACATCATATTGGCACAGCTAGTGAAAACCAGCTCTAAAAGTTCCCACGGTTTTAGTGCCTACGGTAATTAAAACGGCAAATATTTCCCTCCCCAGATGTCACCCAGTCACCTTGTCCAATGAAAGTAGCTGGTAGGCTGCTTGGTCCTTCCTCTCCTCCTTCAACTGCCACCTGTTGGGATGACCTTGGTTCCCATAAGAAATTGTTTTCACCGTTAGCCAGTCTATTTACTTCCCGCTCCCTTTCCCCCCTTCAAAGTTCATGGCAACTATGAAGCTTCAGCTGGGTTTGCTTCAGAGTTGACAAAGAGACTGGACAGCCATTGTGTCTGAAATGATGTGTAGGGTCTCCTGCCTGAGCAGGGGGTTGGACTAGAAGACCTCCAAGGTCCCCTCCAACTCTGTTATTCTGTTTCAATGGCACTGAAAAAAGTGACTTATGACCCTTGCACCATCCCTATGCTCACAGGATCCAAATTTGGATGCTTGACAACTGTCATGTCTTTATGATGGTTGCAATGTCCCAGGGTCATGTAAATCACCTTCTGGCAAGCCAAGTCAAAGTCAGCAAAGTCAAAAAGCTAGATTCATTTAACAACCTATTACTAACTTAAAAGCTGCAGTGATTCACTTAAGGACTGTGGCAAGAAAGGTCGTAAAATGAGGCAAAACTCACTTAGCAATGGAAATTCTGGCCCCAATTGTGGTCATACGTTGAGACTACTACCTGTACCATCCCAGCTTGATTTTCCTTCTTATGGGTGCTCTAATTTTCCAGGGGAGGCTGTTCATCTTGCTCGAGACTTCGGTTATGTGTGCGAAACAGAGTTCCCAGCCAAGGCAGCAGCAGAATATCTCTGCCGCCAGCACTCGGATCCCAGCGAGCTCCACGCCCGGAAAAACATGCTTTTAGCAACCAAGTAAGTAATAGGATCCCACCTGTGGTGGAAGACAAGCGAGCATGAAAGTCGGCTTGAAGGATAACGCACACGTTTTTGCAATTATGCACGATGGCAGTGCAGAAAATCCAATAAGTGTTAATAGAAAGCTGTATTATTTCTCACAATGGAAAAAAGATGGATGGGGAAAAGTGGATTTGGTGAAAATTAAACTGTTTTATTCAGGTCTGTTTCCATTAGGAAATTGCTCTTGCTTTTTTTCATATGGAAAATAGGGGAGAGGGAAAGGAATATATAGACTTTAGTTTGAAGAATAATTGCATAAGTGTAGAAATGGTATATAGTAACTAAATGTAATGCAAAAAGTTGAGGCTGTAAATCTAGTTACTATTTCACTGTACTGTACTGGAAAGAGTCAGAAGTCAATGCTTTCCTGTACCCCCTTTTTATTTTTATTTAAATTTATTTTATATTATAAAACACCTTTGTAAAATATTGGAAATATTTCATTGAAGGGTTAGGAGTAGTTGCAGGTGGCAAATTATAAATATACAGACTTCTCCATTGCACTGATCATTAAAAGTATAGGTGGTATTCCACCTAATACTACAATCAAGTGGACAAGAAGTAATGGATGCAGCTTATCAAAGAGAGATCCAGTTTAGCTTAAGGAGAAATTTCCTTTTTTTCCCTGTAAAGTTTTTTTTTAAACATACACCAGTATCATTTCATGGATAGTGTAGGATCTGATTATCATTCATTTTGGTACAAAAATAGTATTGCTACAGATAAAGATTATACTACCTGAGACTTCTCAGGAAACAGCAACTGAATGAAAAACTGCTGGTGACCTTCTACCGCTGCACCAGAGAGCATTTTAACTTGCTGCACCTCTGTATGGTTTGCCAATTGCACCGTGGCAGATAGGAAAGCACTCCAGAGGGTTAATGTCATTTCCCAGAAGATCATTGGTTGCCCTCTCCCCTCTTTGGAAGAGCTTTATAGCTCCTGCTGCCCTAAGAAAAGTTCAAAACATTATTAAACATCCATCTCATCCTGGGCACCCTTTTTTCGAACTATTACCCTCTGGCAGACGGTATAGGATAATAAAAACAAGGACAAATAGACTGAAAAACAGCTTCTATCCCAGGGCAGTAACTCTTTTGAATTCTGTTGTATAATGTAGTGTTGGTGCAATGTTGGGGGTTTCAGTTCAATGTGTGGAGTGTGAAGGATGTACGTTTGTGTTTATTTTCATGGTCATGATGTGCACTGAAGATGGTGTTTGATTTTGTTTGATTTCATTGTACGAGGTGCAATGACAATAAAGTAAACTAAACTAAAACGAAATAAATATAAATATAAATTCAAAAAGGAAGGAGTATGGGAGGCAAGTCAAAAAGAGAAGAAGTGGAATTTCCAAGAGGATGAGAGATGATGGATAGGAAGGATTTTTATCTAAAAAAAAAAGGCTGTATTAAAAATTAGAATAAAGGAAAAAATTAGAAATAGGGGACAATATTGTTATACGTATTTTTATTTAACATGTCTAAAGTGAATGTTAGAGGATAAGATCAGACTTTGAAAGAGGATCTTTGCTCAATAATTATGCTATTACTATTAGAAGGATGTAGCAAATACTGAACAATTGCAAAAGGAAGGATTATGTGTTAATACCAAGGAGAAATTTCCTGACAGTGAGAACAATTAATCTGTGGAACGACTTGCCTCCAAAAGTTGTGGCTCACTGAAGGTTTTTAAAAAGAGATGGGACACCCATTTGTCTGGAATGGTATAGGGCAGGGGTCTCCAACCTTGGCAACTTTAAGACTTGCGGACTTCAACTCCCAGAGTTCCTCAGCCAGCTTTTATAGAAGACAGCAACACCACCTCCTCTATGGATTTCATGATCAGATCGGTAAACATGATAGTCTCTTACTGAGGTAATGGAGTCAGGGAGAGATGCGTTGAGGCATATTTCACAGACAAATATGATGTCGAATTTAGCCGTATTTAGTAAGAGGAGAAATTCAGGTATTTTATTTACAAGGCTTCTTGCATTGAGTAGCTTGCATTTAAGGCCAGTTGTAGTTGGAATTGAGGTAGTTGGGGGCGTACATGCCTAGTCTTGGGTGATGGTGGATTGGTTGAAGTAGGGTTGGATGCTGAGTTGTGGGTTGTGTGACTTTCTTTTGATACAGTCTGCATGGTAATCAATGTACAGGTCCTACTCTCCATTGTCTAGACAATTTTTGAGTTCTGTGCATAGTATACGGGAGCGGGCACATTGCTGTAAGTTTAGGTTAGGACGAGATCGGAGGTTTTTATGGTTGGTGTTGTTTTTGGCGAGTGAATTTATAGTATAAATGAATTTAGGTTTGCTTAATTCATTTTTGGAAATGACCCTGCAGAAGCGTGGGGCCACAGAGCCGTCTCTGTTTTTGAGCTCTCGGCCAATGCGGGAAATGTCAAGTATTTCATCAGGGGAGATGGTTGATGCTTGATAGTCACCGATGATGTTGCGGACAATTGTGATATCATCATTGTCATTGATGTCCTCTAGACCCAATAAGATGGCGTTAGGACGCTTTCGTTCACGCTCGACAGCTTCTCTACGAATCTTAAAGTTGCCACGGTTGGAGGCTCCTGGTATAGGGTCTCCTCCTTAAGCAGGGGGTTGGACTAGAAGACCTTCAAGGCCTCTTCCAATTCTGTTACTTTGCAATTCTGTAACCATTAGTTTTACAAGTGTTCAAAGTTACACCAGCACAGAAAAAAAGTGAGTTACAACCAGTCCCTACACTTGCAACCATTGCAGCATCCTGGGGTCACATGATCACCATTTGCAACCTTCCCAGCCAACTTCTAACAAGCAAAGTCAACAAGGGAAACTAGATTTGCACTGATTCACTTAGCAGTTGCAGTGATTCGCTTAACAAAAAGGTGATAAAATCATATGTGTCTCACTGTGTTGCAATGGAAATTCTAGTCCCAGTTGTGGTCGTAAGTCGAGGACCACCTGCACAGAGAATCTTTGCAAAGAGCCTGTAGATCCTTTGGAAAGGTTAGGGAATTATACCTGGGGGGTCTGCAGGAGTATCAGCAAGGCGTCAAAATGAGCATAACTTTGTCGGGTACGAGATCACCTGTGCCCTTCTTCCCACCTTAAACATCCCATTTAATATATTTAAATATCTTAAATGATATTTAAATATCATTTATTTTCCAAAGCGCCTGAGGGCAGGACAAGAAACAATGAATGTTCAAGGAGAGAAGCAACCTGGAACTAAGGAGAAACTTACTAACAGTGACCAGGAACAGCTTTCCTTCAGAAGTTGTAGGTGCCTCATTACTAGATGCTTTTAAACAAAGCTGGACCGGCACTTGTCTGAAATGGTATAGGGCAGTGACGGCAGGGGTGGGATTCTACCGGTTCGCACCTATTCGCTAGAATCAGTTGTTAACATTCTAAGCAGTTTGGAGAACCAGTTGTTAGAAGAAATTACTGGTCTAATCCTGTAAGGAAGGCAGGAAGGAAACATTCTGGTGTTGCTTGCAGAAACTGCCTCTCCGTTAACCCTTATTACGTTCTTGGCAGGACTAGACTTCCTGTCTCAGGAACGTCTCTGGAGTTTCCCCCCCCCTCCTTTGCTGGTCCTTTGCTTGTGTGGAGTGACCATTCAAAGTTACAATGGCACTGAAAAAAGTGATTTATGACCCTTTTTCACACTTACGACTGTTGCACCATCCCCACAGTCATGAGAGGCCAGGCGAGGAGATGCGTGCCTCGATGTGAGTGATGTTGACTTGGCCACGCCCAGCCAGTCACATGACCACCAAGCCATGCCCACCAACTAAACCATGCCCACTGAATCGGTTGTTAAAAAATTTAAATCCCGCCCCTGAGTGACGGTGAACTTTTTCGCCACTGAGTGCCCAAAGTGCATGCGCCCCACCACCCTATGCATACAAACCCACCCCCCATGCATGTACGGCAGAGACCTGAAGACAAGACCAACTGGCCGGTGGGAGGCGCGTGCGCATACACGGCGAAGCTGACCTGGGGCCATGGGGTGCATGCCCAGAGAGAGGGCTCTGCATGCTACCTGTGGCACGTGTGCCATAGGTTTGCCACCATGGGTACAGGGTCTCCTGCTTGTGCAGGTGGCTGGGCTAGAGCAGTGGCCCCCAACCTTTTTTGTGCCACGGCCCGGTACCGGCATCACAAAATGATCCACGCCCCGGTACCGGCATCAGCATGCATGGCAAGGCGAGCCGAGCGACTGGCCAGCCAGCCGTCCCCCGCTTCTCCCCGCCACCTTTAACTCCTCCTTTGTACCTTTGTCGATGGGCTTCGGGACGGCTTCAGGACGGTCGCTCGGCTCGCCTTGCCTTGGGTGCTGAAAGAATCCTCGCGCCTTAGTTTTGTTCGAAGCCACACACACCCTTCAATGAAACTAAGGCGCGAAGATTTCTTCAGGACCCAAACGCTACTTTCCAACCGGAAAAGCTCACCGGAAGCACTTTCTCATCAAAACAAGATGGCGGCGCCCAGCAATCCGGCGGCCCGGTAGAAAATGTTCCATGGACCGGTACCGGTCTGGGGCCCGGGGGTTTGGGACCCCTGGGCTAGAGGACCTCCAAGGTCCCTTCCAACTCTCTTCTGATTCTCATTCATTTCCCTTTTTCTCACTCCAGGCAAATCTGCAAAGAGTTTGCTGATATGATGGCTCAAGATCGCTCCCCTCTGGGAAACAGCCGCCCGACCCTCATCTTGGAACCTGGCGTTCAGAGCTGCTTGACGCACTTCAGTTTAATCACCCATGGTTTTGGAGGGCCGGCGATCTGCGCCGCTCTCACCGCGTTCCAGAACTACTTGGTGGAGTCCCTCAAAGGGCTTGACAAAATGTTCATGAACAGCACAGGCAACGGCCACTCGGCTGGTGACTCCAAAACCTCAGAAAAGGATGTTAAGCATCGGAAATGACCCCGTCCGCAGGCAGTGACCCTTTGCATCTCCCCCATCGGAGGGCTCCTTCTCATTTCCAGGATGTGAGAGACAGGAAGGTCCTTCAACAGTCTTGGAAGTGTTGCGGGGGCGGGAGGAGGGAGATTGATCAACCCACCTCTCTCCTGCCAGGTTTTCCAAACTGTGACGAATGCATTTTTGAAATCGAGTCGATGAAAAAGAGAAGATTGAAGAAGAAGAAGAAGAAGAAGAAGAAGAGGCCGAGCCAACCTCAGCACCGGAAGAAATTAGTTAGTGGTTCGGGTTGACACATTGGATTTTTCCATAGGAGAGACTGGGAAGCCTGGTTATATGTGCAATTATTTTGATGATTTTATGTCTTTCTTTGGAAAAAAAAAATCCATGCTCAGAAAAGAAAGGTTGGGATTATCCAGGCAGCATTGCCAAGGAGCAAGCCGAGACGAAGAGGCCTTCAGGTAAAATCTAGAGAAGGTCTTTTCAGAATCAAGGCCTGTTTAGAGTCAAAGAGTACTGGATTTTTTTTTGACTCATGCAACAGGCCTGGACACCTGCAAGAGAGAGAGAGAGAGAGAGAGAGAGAGAGAGAGAGAGAGAGAGAGAGA